CCCCAAAACCCCAAAACCCCAAAACCCCAAAACCCCACAATTACCATCCCAAATTGAAATATCATAATGTATAAGTGACTTATCTTGAGAAATTTGGGTATCCCAATTTCTTCTGAAAGTTATTTTTAAATTTTCTGTACTTTCCTCTACGAGATTTGAAAGCGAACTTGCTATTCCCTTGAATGGCTTGCTTCTCGACATTATTGGACATAAACCCTGAAGCTGTCTGAGAACTTGAGTAGTTGGCTCTGCGTTGTGAGAAACATCTTTCGCATTGATTAGTTTCTTCTCCAGCGGACATTACGTGTCTTATTGCAAAATTATTCCTTGTTATTGACTTCGCACTGCTAAAACATTCATATTTGCACTCCCTTACTTTTTGACTGGTCCTGAAATATTTTTCTGAATCTTTTCATAAACTTTCTTGTTGTAAGAGTTTTTATTAAAAAGCTGACTGTTCTTGGTCATCTTTCGGCTCAACTGTTTGTCTAAATTCAGCTTTGTTTTGGGTGTGGTATAAATATCCTTAGATGGGCTCATAGGCAAAGATCCACGATGGATGTACTCTGTACTGGATTCATAAGTTTCATTTCTTTGATGGAATTTATTTTACATATGATGAGTTGTAATATAAAACTCTGTCTGAGAAAATTTCTTGATTTTGAATTACCCTCTTTTTAAAAGAGTTATTTACTCCAACAGAGCTGGAAAGTGCGTCTTCAATATGAATTGCATTTTTAGAATGCCTCTTCTGAATTCCCTTCCTTGACCTCATGCTACTATTATTACTGTCTCCTGTAATTCGAGAGCGGATGCTATCCTTAGAGCTAACTCTAATGTTCCAAAACTGTTGGCTTGCATTTCCTCTCAGAGCACTGAACTTATTGATTCTTTTTCTTTGCTTTTGCTTGTTAATGAGTCTGGTGAGGTTTTTGTCGATCATTCTCTTATTTATTCCTTTTTTTGTAATCTCTGGGAGGATTGAACTGCTAATATCTCTGAGTCCTCTCAGCTTGGCTACAAATTTAAGGATAAATTACCTTTATTAGAGGTGTTTGATCGAAGATGTCTGTCTAGGTTTTCATTCCGTCTCTGATTCCTATATTATCTGAGTTCTATGCTCAAATTCTAGAGATATATTGGGAATGAGCTTTATATAAAGTGTTACCTCACTCCTTGACTACGTCCTGATCCTTTGTTATAGTAGGATAAATTATTTGTTAGGCAGAAAAGGTTAACATTAACATTCCCATCGTAGTGGGATTGGGTGTGCTTTTTCTCAAAAGGATCTTTCTTCTTCCTTTTATCTCTTAAAACCTTTTTCTTGAGATCAACTGGAGAATTGGCTTTACTTGATATACAATTAGGAGAGTTGATCGTGGAGTAAGTCTCAAACTCTTTTGAAAGAACCTCTGTCATCTGAGTTTTTACCTTGAGGTCTTTCTTCCTTCTTACTCTTTTGAGACTCTGAAGGACTTCACAGCCAAATCAAGTTTTAATAATAATATTTGGGAAGTTTCTACCCAAGTCTGGGTCATGTTCTTTGATAAAGCCTAAATAAGCAATATCTATGTCTGCTTGTCCGTTTTGGTGGCAAGTTTTTCAGTCTCATCACTGTATAATATCATCAAATTTTTGAATATTATTACAATTATGTCTTTCTTGCTCCATGTTAGGCTTGAATATTCAACTATTATAAGTTATAATGGGGTTTTGGGGTTTTGGGGTTTTGGGGTTTTGGGG